GAACGAGTAATTTCCATTCGGAACGAGTAATTTCCATTCGGAGCGAGCAGAAGCCTTATTTTGCTCACTTCTGATCGCGTTATGGTCGCTTCTCATCGCTTTGGTCGCTTCTCATCGTTTCTGTTTGAACTAATCATAATTGGTCATCATTAGCTTTTGCTCTTAAGTATGAGTTAATCTTCTTATCCCACGTGATCACATGGATTTCGAAAATGACTGGAAAAGGTCTGTCCGCTCTCCGAACAATGACAAAAATCATCGTTCTGCCGGGTGTTCCTGACTCAGTTCTTTTCCACGCTAAATTAATGGCGTGTAACAGTTTGCGCACGTGTGATGCGTGCGGCGCACAGGCTACACTTCAACCTGGGAATCCTATAGGTCGAGTCACAAGTCCCGTTCCTGTTAGAATTCTGTCAACAACAACTGTTTTCCTGTACGTACGAAACGCGTAGGACTGGTACAGTTTTGTTTTGGAGAAGTGTGTGGAAAAATATTTTCTACCTTTTAGTGTTTGATTTTTGATTTTTGAGTTTTATGCGCGTCCTCTCTCAAGCTGTTCTCCGCCCCTACAGCCGCCGTAGCCGATTGTTGCAGCCCCTCGGACCGTGGTCTGATTCGCTAGACCGATGGACCTGGCTCTTCTCTCGCACCGCTTTGATCCTCTTCCATCGGACGGCAAAAACCTGGCAATCTACCGACCCATCAACTCGCGTTCCCACAAGACCTTCCGCAGGGATCTTCACCACACCTGGACGGGAACCCTTCCTGGGGACGTCCAACGGGCATCAGTCAACCTTCACCCACGGACAGCCTACGTCACTGTCACGGGCACGGCCCTGGTAGATCCGCCAGATCCGGAATCCTTGCCGGCCTCGATCCTTCACACCTGGAGGGAATTGGCAGCCGACATGGACGACGATTGGGGATGGGTCCCGGAATACATCTCTATTGAGGGTGACAAACAAGTCCTACTGGAGGCACTGGAGAAGGGAAAGCTACGGGTGATCAGCGATGGCTCCTTCAAGCAACAAGTGGGCATAGCCGCAGTCCATCTACGAGCTAGACGTGGAGGGCACGTCATCTGGATCAAGTGCCGTACACCTGGTAAACGAGAGGATCAGAGTGCGTACCGGAGTGAACTTATTGGTCTGTTAGCTGGTATCTTGGTGGCTTCTTGGCTCCGCCTACGCCTACAGTCCC